GGGAGTGAATCATTGGACAGAAGATCTTCCTCTCTGTCTTTCCTCCTCTCTGTATAACTGACTTTGCAATAAAAATAAATAAATCTTAAAAAAAAAGTGGAACAGCCGGGACTTAAACCAACATGCGCATTAGCATTCCAGATGGCAATGTTACCTGCTACGCCACTGTGCTGATCCCGATTTCAGAAGGTTATGCTTAGCATCAGTGTTAACATAGAGCTGGGTCTAGGACCGTGTGTCACCTTGAGGTGGCAATGGAGGATGCACAGTGTGTCACAATATCCACAACCACAGACCTGTGAGGTGGAAGAGCCCTAAAGACAGAGAAGGTGCAGGTGTGTTCCTTCCTGACTCGCTCTTACCTGGGATATATGATCTAGCGTACAGAACAGGACTTCTGGAAGAATCCTTGTGAGGAATCTTGTCATGTCTGCGGTGGCTATTCACAGAAGCCTGGTCACTTTGCTTCTTATCAGGATGTAATCCATGCGCATCGAAGACACCGTTCTCATGTACAAGTCCGTGAGTTCTCCTAAGCAGACTGATCACGTGGCCACTACCATGGAGACCACGGACTGCATCCCAGAACTTCCTTTGTGTGCCTTGGCAGCTTGCAGTCCCCATTCTGGGGTCTCCCTTGGATTCTGGCTTTTCCAGAAAGTCACGTACCGGGACTCCCACAGTCACTCAGGCTTGCTGGTGCTTATACTGCTGAGTTAGACCACGGCAAGAATGAACCCGAGTTCATGCGTCTATCTTTTGCGTGAGTCCATGTTAGGAGCACAGAGGCTGGGGCCCTTCCCCCTGACCGAGGTCACTCATTGGAGGATATGCACCCATGTCTGTCTGGAGCATCTGTCCTTCCTCCCCAGCCCGTCCCTCTCCCTTGAGGCCCCTTGAAGAACCAAGAGTAGAGCTGACTGCTCCCAAGTCACACATTTGTAAACGGAGGCACAGGGCCTGGCTGCACTCTTCAGAAGGCCACAACTAAAGTATAGCTGAGTCAGGCAGTAAAACTAGGCCCAGGGTATGGGGGCCAGAGCTCCGGGCACAGGTAGGGGAAGGCTAGATCCTCACCCCAGGCCTGAGAATTTGCCAGAAGAATAGCAGAGCCCAGCCTGGGTGGGGTCCAGGGCCAAACCCTAGCCCACCATCCAGGCCATTGTTAGTCCCCAGAACCCTGAGCCACCGAGCATGGCCCATCTGGCACAGACTGCCCAACCCAGGGTGGGTGGATGTGGCAAATTGGGTGATTCACTCCAGCTGTGGGGATCTTTATCCTGCTCAGCCACTTGTAGCCACAGGAGGACCAGGGTCTGTGCTGGGGGGTGAGCCCAACAGCACCAGCCCTGCTCTGTGAAGGAAACCGCTGGTCAAGGAGTCCTTGGAACCTTGTCTAGCAGGTGGTAACCTTGGGAGGATTTCTCCAGTCACTGTTTTCCATCTGCAAATGACAGACTTGGGGAAGACGCCTGGGAAGGTCTCTCAATGGGAATGAACTTGCTGCTTGGCCGCCTAAAGCAGTCAGGGCCTGGAGTCAGTGTTGAACTCGAGTTGCAGAGGTTCAAGGTACACGGAAGTCGGGGAGCAGCCTTGGTATTGCTCCACCTCCGGGGGCCCCAGCCAAACACACCTTAGGGTGCCCGATAACTGGTGGACTATGTGGTCGGAAGGTGAGGAGGCACGAGAATGGAGTGAACCAACTGGTCCCAGCTTCACCTTGAGATTCCAGTGGGTGGAGCTTAGAGTCAGGTGCAGCAGGGAGAGGAAGGCTGAGCAAGGTTGGGGTCTGACTTCTGGGAAGTGAGGGCGAGTAGCGAGGGAGAGGCAGGGATGAGGCAGCGAGTGCTGAGGAAGCAGGGCTCTGTGTTGGGTGTTCTGTATTCATAGATGCTTTTGGCTATGCGTGTGGGGATGGTAGGTGGGGGGCATGCAGGGTAGAGTCTTTGGGGAGCTTGTGCCTGTGCACTCCCAGCCTGGGGACCTGGTGTCCTCGCTGCAGCAGCTTGAGCACCTGCACCTTTGCGGCCTCTCACCAACTCTTCAGCACTGGCACATGGGTTCCTTCATAGAGGAACAATCTGGAATGCGTTAAGTAAAAGCATCAGAGTGCTTGGGAATGCTGAAATGGGACTCAGAGTAAAAACAACATACACGGTGGTGCTGTGGCAGTATTTCCCAGCTGAGCATTTGACAGTGTCTTGGGGGACCAAAGCAGTGAACTCCAGATGCTATAATGACCATGGTAGGAGACAATGGTTTGGATTCCCTGGTGGTGAAATAGGACTCCTTGGGGGAGGAAATGCCCAGATTGGCTTATACATCCGTAGTAAAAACACATCACTGCTCATCCCAGGCCCCAGAGCCCAGAATCATCTTCACAGACCCTGGGGTTCCATGCTGAGGGCCCCTAGCCTAGACAGAGAGCATTCAGAGAGGTGAGGGGAGAGGGCTAGGCCATAAGACCCCTCAACAGGCAGCAGTTGGACAGGGGTAGGGGTGGGGAGGAGGGGTGAGAGAGAAAGCAGGAGACACAGAAAATCCCGGGAGGGCTTTCAGCGAGAGGATGTGACCACCTGGGCTGTGCAGCTGGCGTGGAGTAAGACAATGGCACGGTGTTAAGGGACATTGGGAAAAGAAGGAAAAGTGCAGGGAGAGACATAGTGGGGTAGAGGGCATGGACTGCAAGGCGCTTAGAGGGTATATTACTTCTCTGTATGTCTTTGTACATGTGCAGTGCTCTGTAATTCCACAAGAGGTCTTTCATGGAAAGATCTTATCATGAAGATTTTCAAGGACAATACAGATTATGAGAAAATGAGGTGTGAGTGGACTTCAAAGGATTTTTACATCAAAATAAATCCATCTTTTCATTTCATTTCCATGAAACTTTTGAAGTATCTTTGTATGTTAATGTGGGGAGGGGCTCTTGGAAGTTCCTGAGGGTGGGCATGGAGGTGACCAACGGAGGTGGCGTGCTGGAACTGGCTGAGGGCCTGTGGGAGCCAACAGCTGTGTGTGCTTGGTTTGGAGATGAGAGCGTGTTTGCGTGGTAGCAGAATAGTGGAAGATAGGGACACTGGTGACACAGGGGAGGAAGCAGGGTTGGGGGCAGCTCTGGGGCACTGATCTCCCCGGTCCTCAGTGCCCTCTGGAATGCCCACACCCAGACTCTCCTGTTGCAGTGAGCTCAGGCCCTGCCTGGGGCTGCAGATTTCATCTGGCTGGGCTGCGACTGCACAAGGGATATTTCTAGCAGGTGCCTAGGTGAGGGTCACTCAAGGCACACATTTTGAGAAACTGTTCTAATCAATGCCAGAGCCCCCTGAGTGCAGCCCTCCAAGGTTTGACAATGGAGTCTGCTTCTTCCAATGCTCTCCTGGAGAGGAAGGGATGGCAGCAAGGGCAGGAGATGAAGGCAGGAACAGCCAGAGCCTGCCTCCCCAGCCAAGGTCTTGGCCTCTCCCTGGGGAACACCAGTCTTCCCAGGGACTCGGCTGGTTGCCCTGGGAGGGCCTCCTGGGAGATTGAGGGCGATGGCGAGGGACAGAGCCAGAGCCAAGGGGCAGATGGTGGCCGGCTAGAGGCCAGCATGTGTGCAGCAAGGAGTGGCAGGAGCCGGCCAACTCTGCCAGCGGACATGGCGCCCCAGAACACACTGTTCTCCTATATAGTTGGATTCTGGGTTTATGCCAGGCCAGCTTCCCTTGCTCCTGGGAAACCCAGCAGCCCTTCAGAGACACGTGGGATCTCAGAAGGCTTGGCAACTGGACAGCCCAGCCCCCTATGGCAGACCCAGGGGGCCAGGAGATGGAAATGGAGCTTGGTAGATGAGCCTGCAACCTTTTCCAAGGGGAGGATGTGTGCCCACCACTGCCGACTGGCCACCTCTGGGAAGCAGAGGAAAGAGCCTGGGACCAGGGCTGGGCTCTGCCTCCTGCTGCTCTCGCTTCTCTACCAGCTCCTGGAACACATTGACTGACCACTCATGACATACCAAGCGCAGTGCTTAGGTCTAAAAAAAAAAGGTGGGCAGCGGGCCCAGCGCGGTGGCGCAGTGGTTAAGGTCCTCGCCTTGCACGCCCGGGATCCCATATGGACGCCGGTTCTATCCTGGCAGCCCCGCTTCCCTTCCAGCTCCCTGCCTGTGGCCCTGGAAAGCAGTCGAGGATGACCCAAGGCTTTGGGACCCTGCACCCATGTGGGAGACCCGGAAGAGGCTCCTGGCTTTGGATCGGCATAGCATCAGGCCGTTGCGCTCACTTGGGGAGTGAATCATTGGACGGAAGATCTTCCTCTCTGTCTCTCCTCTCTGTATATCCGCCTTTCCAATGAAAAAAAAAATAATAAAAATAGATCTTTAAAAAAAAAAAGGTGGGCAGCAAGATCAAGTGCCTGGTTCCATGGAATTGATATCTATGGGGTGAGAGAGGTAACAGAGAAATGTACACTATAAAGTCCAGACACAGTAAGTGCATAGAGAGACCTGGTATGATAGGAGGGAGCAAGGCATGAGGATGGCAACAATGCTGACACAGGGTTCCAGAGGGAACATTGTGAGAACAGCATGTGCAAAAGTCCTGAGATCAGTATGTGCCTGCTCCTGCTGTGATGGAAGAAAGTAAAAGCATCTCATCTGGAGTGGGAGGAGAAAGGAAAAAGAGAGGAAACAACAGTGACAGTGGGAAGTCTAGACATGATGACCACTCGGTCTCTTCTCTTGGATAAGATAGGGACCCTGGGAAGGCCCACAGCAGGGGTCAGAGTAGGGGACAGATGTGATATGACTTAAGGTTACCAGGTTCCCTCTGTCTGCCGAGTGGAGGAAGGGCTGTATTTGAGGCCAGGCTGGAGGAAGAGGGGCCAAGGAGAATGCTGCTGGGGTTGTTCAGTCTGGAGATGGGCAACCCTAGATCCTTCCATGGAGACATTGCATGGGGGAGGGGGAGGAGGCTTGCCCCATCTCCACCCGCTGACCGCAGCTCACAATCTCTCCACAGCTGGAGAGGTACATCCAGATGAATGTGAGATCAGAGCTGGTGCAGGCCCAGAAGCAGCTGGTCCAGAATCAGACGGCCACCATGCTGGAGCTGGGCACCAATCTCCTGAACCAGACCACTGCCAAGACCCGCAAGCTCACTGACGTCGAGGCTCAGGTACCAGCGGATGAGCAGGTGCACCTCAAGGGCAGCAGCCGGGCAGGCGGGCTCACAGCCCAGGCCAACTGTGTGGCCTTGACCTCCATCCCTGGTTGAGTCCAGGACCTCCTATGAGTCACCAGAGTATCACCTTCCAGCCCCAGGGAGTCGTTGGGGAAAAGTGGGGAGGGGAGGGCTTAGCTTTCCTAATTCATCAATCTTTGGTGGGCCCCAAGGGTCTGGAACAGGAACAGCACAGAGATGGAGGGAGCAGATGACAGAACAAATGACTCGGGGCCACACATTCGTTGAACCCCTGCTGTGACCAGGCATAGTGCTGCCTGAGTCTCATTTACAATTTTAGGTCTTACTGCCATGGTGCTTAGCTAGAAAATTCAGGAAAAGTAATACACTAGAAGGTGGTGGTGCTACAAAGAAAGCAACATGGGAAAAAGGACAATGATGCTGACAGGGTGAGAGGGGTCCAAGTAGCGAGGTCACACACACAGCATGGCCAGGAAGGGCCCTGGAGAAGGCAGAACCAGAGCAGGTGCAAAGGTCCTGGGGTGGCACCGTGCTGGCAGACTCCTAGAACATCAAGGAAGCCAGTGTTTTTGGAGGAACCAGTGGTGGGGAGAGTGTTGGATGAGGGAGCAGAGAGGTGATGGAGTAGACCAGACTTTTCCACTACAGGAGATGCGAGTTATGGGCATACCTGAGGCTGCTGAGCAGGATCTGGGTAGGAACCTGGTGCAGGATGGATGAGAGGCTGGAGCTGGAGAGGGACCTCTGGAGGGACAGGGAAATGGTCAGGCACCATTTGGAAGGTGGAACTGACAGCACTTGCCAATGGACTGAATGGGGGCATCAAGAAGACAGCAGGACGAGTGGGCCTGCCACCTGTAGCTGCCTCCCTGCAGCACAGGAAGGAAGCTGACCAGATGGGCACAATGGGGCTCTAGAGGTTGAGTGAGTGCAGGAATCAGCAATGGCAGGTGACAATGGGTCAGCAGAGCTGTTGGCAGGCAGCTGGGCTGCAGCCAGTAGGGCTTCAGTGGGGCTTACAGAGATCCTGTCTCCCCATCCCTCCCCACCCCACACTCCTGCTTGCTGGCACAGGTGCTAAACCAGACGTCACGCATGGAGAGCCAGCTGCTGAAGACCTCGTTGTCCACCAACAAGCTGGAGAAGCAGCTGCTGCTGCAGAGCCGTGAGCTCCACCAGCTGCAGGGCCACAACAGGTGAGCACAGGGCTCCCTCCACCCTCAGCTCTGGCCACAACAGATGAGCCTGGCCCATCCTCCCACCCCAGCCTGGCCACAGGAGGCAAGCCCGGCCCACCCTCCCACTCCAGCCCTGGCTACAGCAGGCTCTCGGGTTGGGGTTGGCACACATAGTGAGTGTCAGAGCCAGGGCCAAGGCTGGGGCAGGGCTGGACTTGGGCTGGTGCCTGGCATAGCTTTGGGGCCAGAGCCTGGGCTAGATTTGGAGTGTAAGAGGGGCCCATCCGGGGAGTTTGGGCTGGAGTTAGAGCAGCTGGGCCTAGGCCAGGGTTGGAATTCGGACTGGAATAAGGGTGGGTGCTGAGCTGGCACGAGCTGGATTGGTGGCCCAGTAGGCAGGGGGCTTACTCACCAAGCACTGGGTGGGGACAGGGGACAGGCGTTTTCTAGGGGCTCTCAGACTCAGCTCTCTTGGTCTGCTTTCTTTCCTCCTCTTTTTTTATTTCTGCTTTCTCAATAAATTGTGTAAAATTTGACTCCTTTACACAGATCCAACTTACACACAACAGGATTCACCCTGTGAGTTTTAATTGTACTCACTTATTTGTAAACAAATCAGTCCTAGCCCCTGGAACTGCTGTCTTTCCCAGCGACTTCTTGTGTGCGTGGTCAGGGAGTTTCTGTATTATATGCAAATGCACATCAGGCCAACACACCCTGTAAATTACAAAAGGAAAAATAGTCACAGGGTGGAGATAAGGCTGTGGAACTCTGACAGCCCAGGCTGATCCCATCTGGGTTTCGGGCCAAGGGGAGAAAAAAAAAAAAAACCTGCTAAGGTCAGGGAAAGGCAAAACCACCGAGGAAAGCAGCCCCAGGCCTGTTAAAGGGGTCAGGTGTTTATTGTCATTCCCTTGCTGGGTCAGGAAAAGGCTGCAAGGATTGCTGGCTCCTGCTGATCTGCGTGTAATTGGCAAATGCTGTCCCTCACCCCAAGGCCAAGGTGGCATGAATTGGAACTTTCCATTCCCTCTGCATTGGTACCAAGTACCCAGGAATCGATGACAATAAATGACATCAATTGAGCTCTGGGTTCATGATGACCATCCTGGAACTCTGGGAACCCCAGTGCTCACCCCCACAGCAGAGTTGGGCTCTGGGTGATGTTCCCCCACCCTGCTACACTCAGTGTCTTGTCTGGAGTGGCAGCGAGCACTAATTGGCACCCCATTCTTTCCTCCCAGCCAGCCCAGCCTTGCTGTTCCTGATTGCTGGGTCTTTCCATTCACACCAACAACACCTGGCTTGTGTGTTTAGCTCTCTCCGTGTCTCAAGCACAGCCGTAGACCCTGGGACTCCAGAAGTAAACTGAGACAAATATTCCTCAGTTATTCAAGGCAAGTCAGGATAGCCCTTTTTTGCTTTTATGAAGCCCATACACACCACTCTGCCACACCTCTTTTCATCAGTTACCTTAGAAACAATTCAACCACTGGGTACCAAGCTGGCCCGTTCTCTCCAGCATTTCAGTACTTGCTGGTAGGGCTGCTGTATTGCCCAGTTGATGGGCATAGTGGTTGCTTATGGCATTGCACTAAACAGCGAGGGATGCTATGAGCCACCACCCCCACCCCCGGAGGGTCTCTTTTCCCACCCTTGTGAGCACACCTGCAGGATCTGACACAAAAAAGGAAGCCTTGCATCAAAAACTCTCTTTTGAAAATGTCCAGCTTGCTTTGTAATCTATGACAAAAACACCTGGTGCTTACACATCCTCATGCGACATGAATCTGCACAATTTCAAGGTGCCCATACATGCCCTCCACCACACCTGCTCTGTGGTGGGCGCAGTAGGAACAATTTCCCTGCTTGCTGTCTCTAACACAGGTGTCACCTGCTGCCCTTCCTCGTGTCACCCTCTCCTCTGCCTTCTCCAGGCCCTGGACATGTTTCCCAATTCCATGCCAATGTTCACTCGCTGCCTACTTCTTCCCTGGGACTGCTGCAACACACCAGTTCTGGTAGCTTTGTTCAGGCTGTCTCCTGTTCTCTTTGATGACAGAACAGACACTAGCATGGTCACCCAGGCTCCCTGGAGGGCTGCAGGTACAAGGGTGGCCTACCTGGGTTTGGATCACGGTGGCCTGGTGGCAGGTGCTTCCTCCTGAGCTTGCAGTAGGGGCTGGGAGCATTGCACAGGCTCAGCCTGGTGTACTCTTCCCCCATTCCACAGCATGCTGGAGACTCGGTTGCAGGCCCTGGAGGCCCAAAAGCAGGCAGAGCTGGCAAGCCTCCAAGGTGAGAAAGAGAAGCTGCAGCACCTGCTGGGCCGCCAGAACAGCACCCTCATCAGCATCCAGCGCAGCTTGCTTGCGGCCAGCAGCAACTCCAGTCTCCTGCAGAGCCAGCAGCGCCAACTCTTGGAGTTTCTGCAGCGGCTGGTGCATTTCCTGGCCCAGGGCCCTGGTGAGCAAGGGCTGGGGTGTCCCCATGGTGTGGCAGGATGCGGGCAGGCAAGAGAAAGTGGACCCTGCAGGAACAGCCTCACATTTCCCCACAAATGGAAATTATGACAAACAATAATAATAATGGCACAACTGAAGTTCAAAATGGAGCCAGTGCAGACAGCCTTGGACATGTCCTTGTCCCTCCCTCAGCCTTCATTTCCCCATCTGTGCAATAAGGAAGATGACAATAACAAGGACAGCACATTTGAGTTCCAAAATTCTTCCTCCAGTCCACCCTTTTCTGAGCCTCAGTTTTCCATGGCAGGGGGAGGTTGGAATCAAAGCACCCGCAGGATTTTGGACCCATTAATTCCCTGGTCCTTCAGCCCAAACGAGACAAACAGAAGTGAGCCTGGGGAAGGGAGAATCACTCACAGGCCCACCCTCCTCCCCCGAACCCTCAATGACTGCTAGCTGCTTCCAATGGAGCTTGCCAGGACACTCCCAATTATGCAGTCAGTAGTCCACAAATACTAATGAGTGTCTCCTATGTGCCAGGTCCAGGGCCGAGTGCTGGTCATGGACCCTGCCGCTCTGCAGAGGTGCCCACTCCACGCACCGTGGAGTCTCAGAGGGAGGCGAGGGAAATGTGTCTTTGTTGAGTGCCTACTGTGTACCAAATCCTCCCTAGCCATGCCCCACACCACACAAGGCCTGAAATGCTGAACTACGAGAGACAAGGCTCCAACCAGGGCCAGAGGTAGACCCAGCAGAACTTGGCACAGGGAGGGTCAGCATTTAGGAAACTCAGATTGGAACCAAGAGATGGAGAATGGCTCAGGGAGAAACACAGAAGGGGCCACCATGGCTATCACATCTCCGTTGTGGGAGGGTGGAAATCATTGCACAAGGGATTCGGCAATAGTGATGGGGCTCCACCACCATGGCTGGCAAGCATCTGGGGCCACAGGATCCCACTATGGTTCTACTGGGTAAGGGCTGAAGGCCCAAGGAAGCCCTGAATCGGAGAGGTATACACCCTTCAAACCATGCATGCTGATGTAGCTAAACCCTAGCCCTCCCATGGAGGCTGCCTTCTTGAACCCCAAGTGTAGGTTTCTGGGAGCTCAGCCTGAGGTACAGAGCCCAACACCCCTCCACACAGGCTCCCCCAACCCCCAGCCGTAGGCTGTCTGGAGTCTCTGAGGTCTGCTGCCCTGTCTGGGTTGGGGGGCTTGTATGGCTCCTCACCTAGGGGACCAAATGGCCCTTTTGTCACCAGGAAAGGACACTGGGGAGTGGCTTTTGTCCTCTGTCTAGATGAGGTGGGGGGGCGCAGAGGGAATGAAAGAGAGAATTGGTCCCCAGGCACAGAAGCAAGGGCTGCTGGACATGAGCAACATGACCTCCTTGGATGACTATGTCCTGGGCGAACTGAGGCAGCAAAGAGAGGGGAGTATCTTCTGCATCAGGTGCTTTGGTTCAGTTTAGACAGGGATGTAGCCGAGAAGACTGAGCTGTACACAGTGTAAAAGCCACATTCATTATCATGGACACTGGCCAGCCTGCTTGGGGCTCAACTGTGGAGAGCGAAGGGGAGACTTGTGCAAGAAAGGGCACTGACTTGACAGCCCAATGGAGCAGAGGCCCTTAGTGATGGGCACTGGGGCTTGCGAAAGGCTCTTCCCTACTCAGAGCTTCAGCCTTCCACACCTACAGATTGGGAGTAACTAATTCCTGGAGTTCTTGCACAGAGGAGGACCAAACAATTTCAGGTATAGCAAGGAGCATGGTGCTGGTGCTCAGGGCCAAAGGGGGCAAAATAGGTACAAATCAATAGCTCAGAGGTGGCTGTTGTGGAGCGGTAGGTTCAGATGTTACTTTGGACATCCTCGTATCAGAAAGATTGGATCCTGAAAGATAAGTGACCTTGCAGTCAAGGTCACTTATGGGGTCCCACAAAATAAGCCAAGAAAAGGATTTCAAGCCCTGCAGTCTATTGGGCAGCAGGAAATTTACTTTTGGGCAAGACCTAGAGGATCCTAGGGTGGGGAGGGGCTGCAGTAATTAAATTAATACTCTCCTGACCCAAGGCAGAGCAGAGGGGAGAATATGGTGCTTTAAGGACAGTGGTTGGTCCTTGGGGAGAGTGGGATGAGGAGCCCAATCCTGGAGCTGTAGGGAGATCCAGCTGCCTGGGTGGGCTGTAGAGGAGGCCCAGGATCCTCAGGACAAAATACCTCTGAGACCGGTATGGAGGGCAGACTCTGCCGCCCCTGGCTGTGTACCCCCTGGACTTCAGTGCCCCAACCTGTAAAATGGAAAGCAACTCAGTGGAATGAAGGGCCCCAGTCCCCAGGAGAGCCTTGCAGCCTCCTGTCTCCCTCTCTGCTTGCAGTCTCAGTCTAATCCAGGCCCCACTTCACACTCTGCCTAGTCGAGGGTCCCCGGCATGGCACGTGATTCTCTCCTCCATCCTGGCCTCTCTGCCCTGCACATGGCAGGTTCCTCCCTGCCTCTGGGCCTTTGCAGATATTGTTTCCTCTGCCAAGGACACCATGCCCTTCTCTACCTGGGCTACTCCTGCCCCTAGTTTGAGTACCAGCTCACTGACAGCTCCCCTGGGAAACCTGCCAGGTCAGACTCACCTCTCTGGGTCCAACCCTTTCAAGCTAAGACCTAACAGAGTATGCACCTGCTCCCTGCTTCCGACTATCTCCAACTGACCTTGGCTTTGTCCCATTGCAGCATCCGTGAAGGCAGCTGAGCAAAAGTTCCAGGACTGTGCAGAGATCCAGCGTGGCGGGGCCAATATCAGCGGCATCTACACCATCTACGTGGCCAATGTCACAGAGCCCAGGAAGGTCAGGACACTCCCCAGGGATGGACCTGTCAGAGGGTGCTGAGCCATGGCCTTCCCACACAGGTGCCCCCAGAAGTGCAGGCAGAGCCGTGGGCAGGGAGAGGCCTTCTGCATCCCCACCTGCAAGGGGTCAGATCATGGAGTCAGGAGCAAGTTCCCAAAATTGAAAGTCCATCTTTTGCAGTGTCTTCTCCATTGATCTATGCTCGCTGATATAACAAATCAGCCCGGAAGTTCAAGGGGTTCAGCTCAAAGATGTGCATTTTAGTTTACCTGTAGTCCGGGTAAGTGTGGGAGTCAGGATCCCATTCCACATGGCTTGTGAAGGACCAGAGCTGATGGAAGCTGCACCATTCTCAGTGAGAGGTTCTCTTCCATTGTTTTCCCAGGCCATAAGCAGGGAGTTAGATCAGAAATGGAGTGGCTGGGACTTGAACCAACATCCACATGGTATGCCAGTGTCATAGACATAGGTTTAATTTGCTGTGCTACTGTGCCATCCCCTCTCGATGACTCGTGGTATCTCTCTGTAACTGTTCTTAATAAGCCATCTGCCTGCCCTATCATAGCCCACTACAGAACAAGCCCTCCTGAGGGTTGATGTATCTTGGATCTTTTGGTTGTCTAGGAATGGGCTAAGAACCAAGTTTTTTTTTTTTTTAAGATTTATTTTTATTGGAAAGTCAGATATACAAAGAGGAGAGACAGAGAGGAAGATCTTCCATCCAAAGATTCACTCCCCAAGTGACTGCAATGGCCAGAGTTGAGCCAATCTGAAACCAGGAGCCAGGAGCTTCTTCCGGGTCTCCCACATGGGTGCAGGGTCCCAAGGCTTTGGGTCATCCTCGACTGCCTTCCCAGGCCACAAGCAGGGAGCTGGATGGAAAGTGGGGCTGGCTGGATTAGAACTAACACTCACATGGGCTCCCAGTGCGTGCAAGGCAAGGACTTCAGCCGCTAGGCTATTGTGCTGGGCCTGTGGAACCAAGCTTATGGTCACTGAACGTTATACATGTTCTGAACTGGAGAGAAACATAGTATGTGAACAAAAGTCTATCTGAAAGATTTAGCTGTAGAGATGAGAAGCTCTTTGAGGAAAGGCCTCTTTGTTATTGTGTGGCAACCCCAGGGCCTTAAACAGCGCCTGGTGCAGAGTAGGAGCTCAGAAAACGTTTATACCCTGAATAACAGCCGTGACAGCATTTCCTGAGTCTATACTGCATGCTAAGTACTTCCCTGCCAATCAGCATTTTATCTACATAGCAACCCCGAAGTGAGAATGAGCAAAAGGACCCCATGGGCTTTGTGCCCGGTGTGTGTCGGGCTCAGGTCTAAACATGCACCTGCGGAAGATCTTTTTTTTTTCCTGGAAAGGCAGATTTGCAAAGAGCAGAGACAAAAAGATCTTCCATCTGCTGGTTCAGGTCTCCCAAGCTGGTTCAGGGTTTCAAGCTTTGGACAACCCTCTACTGCTTTCGCAGGCCACAAGCAGGGATCTGGATGGGAGGTGGAGCATCAGGGACATGAACTAGTGCCTATATGGGATCCCAGCACATGCAAAGTAAGACTTTTAGCCACTGAGCCCTTGCGTTGGGCCCTGACTGCTCCACTTTCGATCCAGCTCCCTGCTAATGTACCTTGGAAAAGCAATGGAATATGCAGTGGGCCCACCTATATGGGAGACTCAAATGAAATTCTAGGCTCCTGGATTTGGCCCTGGCCACTGCAGCCAAATGGGGAGTGAATCAGTGAATGGAGGATCTGTGTGTGTGTTTCTTTATCTCTATCGTTCCCCCTCTACCTTCCAAATAAACACATCTTTTAAAATAATGATAGTAATAAAAACCAAACATACCTTGACTTGTCACTAGTTCTCACAACGATCTCAACTTGCCAGGGAGAAACTTTTCACATACCTGTAACCAGCTCTGCAAGGGGAGTCTAAGACAGTGTTGCTGGCTCCAAGACTGTATGCACTTCACCAAATGAGAAGTATTGAGACCATTTAAATTGTCAATTTAATGAGAAGTATATGAGATAATTTAAATTGTCCTGACTTTCATACCCGATTATCTTTAGACTTTTCAAATTAAATTTTGAATAAAGGATGCAGGGCAAACGGACTCTGCAGCTGTTCAGGAGGTAAAGCTGTAAACATGCCCATATGCCACCAAAGGTGGGAAGGCTCTGGGAAGACCTTGCTTGGTCACTACTTTAAGAAACAATGGTCATGGGTGGGAAATTTGAGCCTGGATCTTTCCAACATCCCAGAACAACAGGCTCAGCTGCCCTGTTGGGGCCCATTGACCAAGTTACATTTGCACCAGCCCTCATTTGCTTTCTGAAAATCTCCGAGGGCTACAGCCACTCCCCATCCAACCCTGCCCCCACAATTTGTTCCAGGTGTTCTGTGACATGGAAACCGACGGAGGCGGCTGGACCCTCATCCAGCAACGGAAAGATGGCACTGAGAACTTTCAGCGGAATTGGAAGGATTACAAACAGGTAATGGGCTGCCCAGAGGAGGGGATTTTCAACCCTGACACTGAGGATAGGGGCTGCCTTGCTGGCAGGGAAACTGGTTTATTCTCACCCTCCACGGTATGGGAGGGGGGCTAGATAGCAGTTCCCTAGAGCTGACCACCATGGAACAGATCTGTCTCCAGACACACTCACTTTCCAGGACCCCAGCACCCAAGGTTGACCTTTGTGGAGGTTCTGATCTATGTCCTAAGGGGAAGTTGATTTCATTTTCATTTTGTGGAAAAGATAATACCTATATATTACTTAAGGAATGCAAAGGAGAAGACAGAAAAGAAATCTGCTTCACTCCCCAGCCCCCAACTCCACAATGCAGGTGAATTGTCCTGACTTTCATACACCTGTGGCCATTGCTGCAGGAGTGATTCCTCAATGTGGAAGACCATGGGTAGTTTCCAACATGGGAAACGGTGCCTGAGCACCTTCCACTTTTCTACATTAAACTTGCAATAAAGGATTTTGGGAAAGTTGACTTAAAGGCTCATAAAATTTTCAAAGGAAATAGACCAATGTAAGCAGAAGGAAATACTGCTCTTTAAATAACAGTATTTAAATTGCAAATATTCCTGAGCCAATTGGATTTTAAACAGTCAACATCCAGCAGGAGCACAAGGGATGCTGAGAAGGTGAGATGTGCACAAGGTGCTGGCCATTCGCCCCTCACCAGCAGCAAGGCAGGAACTAAAATGAGGCACGGGGCTGGGGAAGGAGGGGAGGGGGTACTCCTTGCCCCTGTCCTTGGTGCTGAAATCTTCCAACCAAGGGTATTGGTTTTTCATCACCCCTGGACACCAGCGACAAGACACCCTCAGGCTCTTAGCTTTCTAGTACTAAGTTGCAGACATTGATGTACTGAACAAAGCTTGATTTACCATTTAGGCATCTGTTGGAAATCTTATTTGGGTTTATATTGCGGCTTTACTTACCTACCCTTAGTATCCCAATGCCTTGAGTGAAGGCCTACTCAAGTATACAACCATGTGGCCAGCACTCAGGATTAGGCAGACACACTTCTAGCCTCCAATCCACCACTTCTGTGCTCCTTTCCAGGCTATATTCCCCAAAGGTAGTCACTATTCTCATTCTGTCACCACTGATTTGTTTCGCTTCTTCTTGAACTTCAGAGAATGGGATTTCAATTATTTTTTAATGAGCTTTCACATTCTCTCTAGGAGCTGGAGAGCTCCCACCCCAAGCCTGCCCACACTGTGCTAATGAGCTGGATCCTTAGGCACAATGATTTTGGAGAAATGGCCAGGCCAGCCCATCTGCCAAGGGATGCGGTCTCCCTCCTGGGCACCCAGCCCACCCCAGCCTCCTCTTCCTGCAGGGCTTCGGTGACCCTGCCGGGGAGCACTGGCTGGGCAATGAGGTCATGCACCAGCTCACCAGCAGGACAGCCTATTCATTGCGTGTGGAGCTGCAGGACTGGGACGGTCAGCTGGTCTACGCCCAGTATGAACGTTTCCAGTTGGCCAGCGAGGGGCAGCTGTACAGGTGGGTTTGGGGTCTAGGTTGGCAGGAGGGCTGGGGTTCCAGAGCTTGCGGCTCTGAAGTCTGCATCCTGGGTCAGTCTCTGGGCGTGCCTGTTCCTACCATCTGTCCCCCATTGTGGCACACGTCACAGGCCCTGGAGGCGACGGCTTTGCACTTAGCACTTCCCAGCCAATGGGTGGGGTCAGGGTGTTGCTGACGCTCCTTGTCTTGAGAGTAGGAAGGGGCTTTCCAAGGTCACCCATCCTGAGCCAGTCCCTTACAGAAGCCCAGAAGTGGGGGACATGGGACAATCCAGGCTGTGCTGTGCTCTGGGGTGCAGTAGAGAGGCCTCCGGCAGCAGTTCCTGGTGCTGCCTCAGCTTGCTTTGTGAGCCTGGCTTCTCTGTGCTTTTGCTTCAATGGTGAGATGGGCTTCAACATGCGGCAACTGAGCGCATCGAGGTTCCCCACCCGTGCCCCAACCTGTCACTTATTGGGCACGTGCTGTGTTAGGGGAACCTTCTGACACAGGAATTACTAAGGCACCGGGCTCCCATCTCCCATCTCCCAGAGTTACAAATTAGGTAGCACCAGCAGTTGAATTCAGGTTCCCCTGCAGGCAAAAGTCACAGTGTTAAAGATGATATTCCTGATTCGTGGTGCTCTCTGAGCCAGGATAAAACTGAGGTCATAGACTCATACCCTGGGGACTGCAGAGGACCCCTCATGTCACCTGCTTCTAACACTAGCTTCACAATACTATATATTCATGAGTGGGGAGGTCCCTTCCTCCCAGGGAGTCCTGGATGACTCTGTCCCTGGCACTGTACGCCTGGGGACTCAGTGATGTAGTCCATGCCCCTTGCTTCTGAAGACAGTTCTGATATCCTCCCCGTGGGAACCACTCTAGCCTGATGATGATCCCTCCCGGAAGACCCCAGCACATAGCTCTTGGAGGCACTGCCTCACATCTGATTACAAAAACAAGATGTATAAGTGTAAGACTACACATGGCACTGTAGAGCACTCACCAGCACCCAAGGCCCACAGAGCACACACACCCAGCACAGCACACACTCAGACATGTGTCAAATGCTTCAGGGCAGCTCTTGCAGGCAAATACATACACACACACACACACAAACACACACACACACACACACACACACACGAGCCAAGGCTCAAACATGGACTCACACATGCAAAGCACACTTGTATGTCTGACTGGGAGCCCCCAGAGACTTGCAAGTTTGCTTGGCCTTTTTCAGCCCAAGCCATGAACATGCATTTGAGTGCTGTGTTCAGAGGACATCGCCACTCCATGACACAGGAGGCCCCTGGCAGCTACAGGTCCCCATCTTGCTGGCCAGAGCTCGAAGCTTGGGGCAGTAGACCCACAGTGTTGCTAGAGTGACTAGTGTGTTACTAGGGTGATCCAATACCTTTGGTCTATCCCTGAGGCCAGCCAGGTCCAGCACGAACTTGACACCAAACCTCAGGCCCCAAGGGCCAAGATCATGGGAGTGAGTAGGCTGTCTCCCTGCCCCAACCCTAAGGAGCTCACCCAGGCAGCCTCTTGGCAGCACCCAGCCTGGAAAAGCAGTTTCTGAGTGGCCCTGGCCATCCATGCCACCCCCTTGCAGTCAGAGCAGCCCCTCCTGTGCACAGTACCCACTACCCTCCCCCACCAGGCCCGGCCCTGGGCCCAGGGCTGAGTAATACGGGCTCCAGTACTGCCCTGCATGTGTCACATGCAACCAGCAGGGTCGTTGTTCACATCACTGATCTACACTGAGGCTCAGAAAGCTGGAGCCACCCACCCCAGGGCATGCTGCTGTGGGATGTCAGAGCTGGGATTGGAGCATTCTGCGTCCTACCCAACGAGCTCTAGGTTGTCATCCCAGACAGCCTTGGACCCTGAGTCAGGCAAAGAAATGTAAACCTCCTCACCTCCTGTGCCCCAAGTCTCCCGCCAAGCTACCTCAAGGGGGTAGTGCTGGCAATGGCCTGGGGAGCAGATCCAGGTGGGCTAGTGTGGTCGAGGAAGGCTTCTTGGAAGAGGTAAGTGGGTATGAGGCTGGAAAGCCCTGCTCCTGCTAAAACCTCAAGCAAACTCTCTGGATCTTGCCAAGCCCCTCTGGCAATTACAGGGAGATGACTAAGCCCCTGCACACAGTTCTCAAACAAGACCCAACCCCTTGGAATGCACATCAGGAGACAGCCATCGTTGCACTCTTTCCATCATCATCCTCATCCCCTTTCCTTTCCACATCCCCTGAAGGAGCCCTGGCATGCTGCGGGTGCTTTGTCCCTGGGAGACAGCAGACAAGGGAGCGAGCCAGAATGGGACATGGTCCAAGCACAGTGGCCTGGGACACAGCCCCCAGGGAGGCCCTTCCCCACCAGCCTTATCCTGACTCTTGATCTTTCTCCTGTCACCACCCTTGGGTGGCCTCCAGGCTTTCTGTGAGTGGCTACAATGGTTCCGCTGGGCGCCAGAGCAGCCTGCCCCTGCAAGGTGCCAACTTCAGCACCCGTGATGCAGATAATGACAACTGCCACTGCAAGTGTGCCCAGATGCTGTCAGGAGGTGGGTGTGGAGTGGAAAGGGTCCCCTGGGAATTGTCTGGGTGCATGTGGAGGGCATGGCCTTGCCCACCCAGGAGGTCCCTTCTTGGGCTTTGCTTCCTCCTCAAACTGCTGGTGAAGCCAGGCTAGAAGAACACTTAGGGTGGGGTCTTCCAGGGGATGCCTGATGGCCTGTTAGACCCAACTATGCAGGACCAAGCCTAGGGAGACCCAGAGGAGGCTCGGGTGGCAGACAGGGTGATGGAGCCTGAGAGTGGGGGGTGGGGATGAGCAAGACGCAGGAGGAGAGACACAAAGAGAGGCAGGTGGCGGCAGAGAGAGACAGCAAGACAGACAGTGAGGGTCAAAGCAGCAGGGGCCAGGATGGGTAAAGGGAGAAATGCGGCCACAGGCAAGGTCGGGAGGCACATGCGGGGTGAGAGATAGGTGACTGGAACCGCCTGCTGCGGACAGAGGCAAAGAGGGCAGCTGACAGGTGAGCACAGGTGCGAGAGGCAGGGCAAACATCAGAGAAAGAGGGATGACACCAGTGTGGTGGAGATCACCAGCAACCAACAGAGAGCAAGGAGGACACTAAAAGGGACAGGAGGCAAGGACATGGGGGTCGGGGGAGGGGAGGAGGACCCCCCCCCCGCCCCCGGCCCACGCTGCCCTCCCTGGCTCAGACTGAGCAAAGGGTCTCTTGCATGCTCCACCCCCTCCAATGAGCCGGGCTGTCCAGGAAGTCACAGCCGTGAGCAGCCTCCATTTCCTGGCTGAGCCCCAACCCCTGCCCCCTCCCTCTCCTGCCAGGCTGGTGGTATGACGCCTGCGGCCTCTCCAACCTCAACGGCATCTACTACCCAGTACAACACCACCTGCGCAAGATCAACGGCATCCGCTGGCAATATTTCCGGGGCTCCAGCTACTCACTGCGTGCCACTCGAATGATGCTGAGGCCCGTGGGCGTCTGAGGGGCAGCCATGCCCTGAGGCTGGGCCACCCAGGAGCCCAGACTGCGTGTTCCCCGAGCCAGCCTGGACCCACACATCAGACACAACACCGTGGTCTTGTCTCTAGTCACCTGAGCCATCCCTCCTTGACACAGAAGTTCAGAGACATTCTCTGCCTCTTGGCTCCCCTGCCTGTGAAATGGCCGATGTTTTGGTGGAGAGTCCTGGCCTCTGCAGTTCCCTGTGCCGCCCTTCTATCCTGCCTCCTGTGGGAGGCTGCTGCCTAGAGGGTGCTGTCAGGGTTGCCAGCAGCAGCAAAGGTGTGGGCAGGCAGCAAAGTGGCCAGATCCTGGCATTGGCAAGAAGACTGCCTCTGCCCTGAGCTCCCACTGCAAGCTTTCCCAGCCATGCCACGTCCTCAAACGTTTCCTCCAAGCCCTAAAGGGGCTGTATCCATCCCTGAGGGTAACTGTGTCCCTTCCACATTGGATGGGGTTCAGGCTGCAGGGTTTGGGACTCACACTTACTCACCCCAGGACATTGGGAGATCCCCGAGGAATTCCTCCCCTTTCAGCCTGTTCTGGAGTGTGTTCCCCTGGGAATCATGGCAACTCCTCTTGAGCTCTCTTGAGCTCTCCCTATGAGCAAGTGAGGAAGGGAAATAGCAGATGAATGTGAATGCCATGCTAGCTGCAAGACTTGTCAGTGCCTTTCATGTGAACCCGTGCCTTATGACTGCTGCCCACTAGGGGCCTGGAATGGGCAGCTTTCTCCCCATGTCTTACCTCAAAGTGGACCCCATTTGTTCCAGAGGTTCTCCTGGGGCTATGGATGCCCTTGGAAAAGTTAGTCTTTACCAGTCGGTCAGAAGGAAGAGCCCAGGGCCTTATCCCCACACCTCTCCCTTTTGGTGACCACAGCACAGTGACAAGTTCAAAAAGCCCCTAAAAATGACTGGAAGGAATCTTCGGGTTAGAACAGACACCATCCATGCTGTGCGCTCATGTCCGTTCTGATCGCAGGAAGCCAGATCTCCATAGCTCAAACACCATCTCTCCACCAGGACGGGCTCACCCCAGTTCACCAGCAGGCATGGTTGGGCCACATCCCAGCCCCTCCTTCTTGCCCCCAAGACAGATGTTGGGGTGGAGTGCCTTTCTCCTCCCTTTCCCCACAGATGCTGAGGGGTCTGCAGGGGAGGAGGCCAGGCCCAAGTTCCAGGTAGATTCCTGAGCGTCACTCAGCGATCATAGTCAAAAAAGGGCCATGAACGCTCTGTCATCACATCCACCCATGTCTCTCTCCCCTGCCCTGCCAAGGCCACCACAGTCCTGGGTCAACAGGGACCTCACCTTCCCCCCTCCAGGACGCACCTGTCTCCAGAAGGTTTGTGGGACTGAGGCTGAGCCGACAGGAACTGCCATGGTGCCCTGGCTCTGCCCAGCCCCACCTGCGCCTCTTGGTTGACTCTCTGGGAAACCCAGTATTGTTGGCCTCTCAGAGCTCTGGTAAAAGAACCTGCACCTTCTCCTTGAGACGCAAAGACACGTTTGACATTGACATTCTAGGTTACGTGGGAAAGCTTAACACAAAGCTCCAATTGCCTTAGGCAGCGTTGGCCCAGCCAACCCCCACTTAGTTCCTACTGTGTGCAGCCTGGAGCCATGGGCAGGGCTCCAGTTCTGAGACTGTGGGCCAGTGGCTCACAGTGGCCCCCAGTCTGTAGCAGAAACCTCTGATTGTCTGTGAGATGAACATGGTGACTGTCCCTTTTGCTGGTTTGTGGCAAGGAGGAAATGCGACCTGTATGTGAGAACAGGCTTTGGCTCAGAGCCTGGCACAAAGTGGTGCATAATAAATGTCCATTCCCAAAGAGCAACCAGTGAGTGCAGGATGACATGGAATGCAGCCCTCTTTCCCAGTATGCTCCCCAGTTTCCTGGAAGCCAAGGACTGATGGGGTTACCCTCCAATATCTGCTTTTAAATCCTCAACCTTCCTTCTCACCTCCCTTCCTACCCAGCTCTGATATCCTCAGGTAGCTGCACGTGATGAGGGGTGAACTCCCGAGAACTGATTGGACCTAGGGGACTTGGATGATATCCACTCTCCTCCTGGACCTTCCACCCTGCAGCTTTCCTTCCCAGCCAGGGCTCTCCTGGGGAGCTGGCTCCGCAGCCCCAGCTCTCGATCTCCCTGGATTCTTGCAGCCAGGATTGCACTCATCCTGTCCTCTCTGATGTGGCTGGCCAGACCTGAGTCATCTGATAGGGCCTGGAACCAGGGGGTGGGGCTGGACCCACCCAAGTCAGGGCTGTGGAAAGCAGAGCTGTAGCGCAGGCAAGAGCAGGTGCTCAGTTCATTTCCCTTCATCTCTGGCTCCCTTCTCTCTCCTCTCCCAGCATCCCTGCCCTTATACCAGGCTCTTGCCTCCAGCTCATCCCAAGTCTTCAGACTTTCAAGGGCATAGCTGTACCTTGCCCAGAAATGCCAGCACCTCCCCCCCAAGCCTCAGTAAGGATAGAACACTTGCCATCCTTCTGACAAGGATGCTACGTCACAGCATCAGCAACACCAGCAAAAGGATGCTGAGTGACACAAGACTACAGTAGCCTTGGGCACAGGTTGGGGCTCCCAAAGGCCACACTTCACAGGAGTTGCCTTCTACGACTCCTGCATCTGCAAAGTCCTGGTACTGGACCCTGTACCAGGCCAGAGAGACATCCTCATGTTGGTGATGGGAGGGAAACGGCCTCAACAAAGAGCACAGCCAATCATCCCTCCAGCACACTCGCCTCTGTGGGCTGCCTCCCTCTCCCAGAGCTCTCCAGAGGCATCATGGTACCCACCACAAAATGCCAGAACTTCCGCCTATATCAATAGCTGAAAGAGCTTTCTGGAAAGACCTCCAAGACCAGTCTGTATTTCTCACTGGCTCCTAGCGGGTCCCAATGGAGCCAAATGGGCAGAACACACCATTCCTGAGGTCTGCGCCAGTTCCCAGCAGAGACAATTTCCAAATTGGGGAGAGAGTTCACTGTACCTCCTTCCCCGCTCCCAGGGGATGGTGGGATGGGGGCGGCAGCATCAGGGCTGGGTTTTGACTGCTATTTCCAGGTTTTCCTTCCCCCTTAGTATCTGTGTGGATCTTGCCTCTCCTGATTCAAGAGGCTTTGGAAAGTGTTGCCTTGGCAACACATTCATCAGCATTTTTTAGAGTGGAGCAGGGAGTGGGGGCTGGGTCATGCCCAGCATCACTGTCTTGCTTTTCCAGGTTAATATAGGTTTAAGTGGCTGAACATCTCACACTGACCTGCATTCAGTATCTGATGGATTCCTGCCTCTCTTATGAGACTTGTCTGAGTCTCCCTTTTCCCAACTGCAAAATGGTGCAATGGGGTCAGTTTTATAGGAAATCATGGGTGGGAAGTGAACATCCAAGCCTGGCACATTCATTCCTTCATGTGTGCATTTATTCATATATGGAGGACCTGCCAGGGCCCACAACTGGCTGGGACAGTAGACAGGATGGACATCCACAGCCACAGGCTTCAGAGTGAAGTAGGCTAGTGTGAAAGATTGGCCCCAAACAAGTTCTAAAACAAGCTGAAAAGGAGTCAGCGAGGCAGGTTAAGCTGTCAATCGCAATACCAGCACCCCATATTGGAGTATCAGCTTGAGTGCTAGCTGCTTGCCAAAGTGCCTGTAAAGGCAGTGGAGGATGACCCAGGTTTTTGGGCCCCTGCACCCACATGTAGACTCAGATGGAGAGCCTAGTTCCTGGCTGCAGCCTGGGCCAGCCCAGCTATTATGGCTGTTGTGGAGAGTGAACTAGCAATCAGAAGATCTCTGTCTTTCCTCTTGTCACTCTCCCTTCCAAATAAATAACAGTTTAAAACAAATAAAATATTGAAAATATATCTTTAAAATCTCCTGAACTAAGTAGCTGAAAGATTACATTAACAAATTAGAATACAGAGTGTAATCAAAAGAAACTCTCAGAGGAGGCCCAGCATGGTAGCCTAGCAGCTCAAGTACTCACCTTGCATGCACTCAGATCCCATATGAGTATTGATTCTAATTCTGGTGGCCCCACTTCCCAACCAGCTCCCTGCCTGTGGCCTGAGAAAGCAGTTGAGAACGGCCCAAAGCCTTGGGACCCTGCACTAGCATGGGAGACCCAGAAGAAGCTCCTGGCTCCGGGCTTTGGATTGGCTCAGCTCCCATCATTGCACCCACTTGGGGAGTGAACCAGCAGACAGATCTTCCTCTCTGTCTCTCTTCCTCTCAGTATATCTGACTTTCCAATAAAAATAAATAAATCTTTAAAAAAGAAAGAAAAACTCACAGAGGGTAAGAATAAATGAATTCATGGGTGCCGGAGTCCAGCTCCAGCTGAGTTCGGAACTTGCGAAGGGTGCGTGGATGAGGCGCAATGAAAGAAAGAGACAGACCACTAGGACTTCATCATCATAATGGACGACGCACAAAAGCTGTCCGCTTTATTTATACAAAATCAGTCAAACTCTGGCTCAGACTTTTTACGTCATGGTCAAGTGGGTGTTTCCAAAGATAACTCTGCCATTTGTTTCACCTAAGGCTAGGATGTTATTCACCTGGTGCCTGGCACCTGGCGCCTGGCTAGGAAAAAGTTCTCAATGGATGGTGCATATCAATCACTAACACATTCCTGCCACAATTACTCTACAGCTTGGTCTTGAGACAGTCAAGGAAGGAAGGGCCCTAAAAGATCAAAGAAAGAGGGAAAGAATAGAATCCCACTACACCTGAAGACAGAACACCCTTGATTAGCATAGGATCAAAAGGGGAGTTAGCACCCTTGATTAGCATATTGCCACAGGATGCAGCCATAACAGCAATAACAGCTTTTTGGCTAAAAACGATAACAGCAACATCAGCTTCTAAGCTCCTACTGATACTTAGCAGTAACTCCGCAGAGGCAGACAATGCCTAAATAGATTACAGAAATCTCAATGGGGTTGTCCGGTGTCCATGCAAAGG